CTTGTCTGTTAGAGAGAGCAATGATAATTGTCGCTTTTTGGCAAAACTGACAAATCTGGCCCGTTTAGCAAGCCGCTCCCCTAGCAGTTGCTGAGCCTGAATGCTGTCCGCCTGATAGGTACGTTTCCGGCGGAGGGCAGCATGTGGCGGGAGCGGATGTTTACAAGGGGTGCCCGCGGTGAGCTTACGTCGTTTGTGAAGAGGAATAGGCAGAGCGACAAGTTCGTTCTTAAGAGCCTCACTCTTATGCCGTAAAGATTCATAGCGAAAGAGGGGAGGATCATGTGGAGAGAGGCTATAACGATCACTGAGAAAGTGGTGTAATTGTGTGATGTGCTCCTCAGCGGGACAAGGAGCGGCCCAAAAGCCATCATGCAACCAAATGGCCGAGTGGAATCCAACTAGCGGTTGCAGAAAGTTGTGGCAGCCCAGGTTAGTTGCTGCTCCAAAGTTTCATAGAACCGAAACGGGGCTGCTCTGCTCCGGTCAAGCACCCGGACAGGGCACCACGCCGGCGGATGATGCATGATATACCTACTGGCTGCATGGAGCTCATGTGCAAAACGCGTGAGATCGGGTGGTAGGTGGCCAGGTAGGTAGGGCAGCTGACGGGACAGGAATGTGAGTGCTTCCTGTGGGGAATCATTGTTGATGACAACGAGGGGCCATCTCTTGATAAGCACATCAAAGTCACCTGGGATAACCTGATCCTCTGGAGGCATGAGCGCAATCCGCAGCCAGTCCCTGATGAGATGAATGGGACGCAACGAGACATGAGCTCTCGCCTGGGCGCAATATCTTCGCGGGAGTTCATAATATTTTCCACTAATGTCAATTTCGCAATGACTACTGCCAAATAAGAGGAGCCTTGCTCGACGAGGGAGTTGCTGAGTTGCTGAACCAACCGCATAAAACCTACCGTACCCATCACTAAAGGATGGTTTGTAACCTATGGCCAACCCACCTTCATTGCTTCTTGCAGTAGCAAGGTAATCTTGGACTATACATAAGTTGTGTTTCATTTGAGACATCAGCACTGCAAGTTCCTCGGGTGCCGCTGTTGGACATTCCGTGAGCACAAAGGCGGGCACTGATTGCAGAGTACCATGCTCAATCACAAAACCAAGTTTCTGCGCCAGGTGATACGGCGGCGATGCACGATGGGCAACGACCTCAAGCGGTTGGTCCGCATGCGACTTGGCTTTCGCACTCGCCTGCCCCGCAAAGTAGTCAGCTAGTTTATTACATTCTCTAGGCAGATAGACCAGCCTGAAGATGAAAGGGGCACATAAGAGGAATCTCTGACAGTCCTCGAGTATGCTGACCACCTCAAGCCGTTTAACTCGCCCCTTGCCTTGGAGGTAATTGAGGAGCGGAAGGATATCGCCCTGTATCATTATGCCGTTTTGTGACATACCTCGTTCTAGGCAGTGCCTGTGGTGCTCTATGGCAAGTTTGACAGCAGCTAAGCATGCATTAGCCTCTGCTATGACATTGTCCGCACATGGAACAAAAGGTATAGATTTCCATCGGACCAGGGTTGTGGCTTCTTGCGTGACTTGTAGGAGGCTGACCCCAGCTCCACCTGTTTGAGTGCGCTTATGAGCTGAGCCATCAAACTGAACCAGACAACTTCTCCAGTTCGAGGCCTCACCAATGAGGAGAATGGCATTGTCTGGAATGTCATCGGTGGCTTGTAACTCAGTGACAAGTGTGTGGGATCAGGGCGGCAGTGGCAGCGGGAAAGGGGAGCCGCCTGTATTGTGTAAGGAGTAGTCGTAGTCGCACATCTGCTGGCCCAACAGTGGCAATGGTGTCATGTTTACGAAATGCACGGTTAGTGCAAAGTCCTTTGTCAGGGAGTAGGGCAGAGTCAATTTGCGTCTGAGGGAACCTCTGAACCCTGACCTGGGCGGTGCTCACGCACGGCAAATCTTGGTGTAAAGGTGGTGCCCGAAAAAAGGGTAGTAGGGTGGCTGGCAAGGAATGGTAAATGCGCTGCCACAAATCCATAGCATGTCGTTGGGCACTACGCAATTTAAGACATTCAATATTCGGTCGTAAACCCCCAGGTTCTGTTACAATTCGCCGTGTATGGAATAGTAGGTAACACAATGCAATTCCTGTATGTCGATCCGGTGTCCGCCGCCAATCAACAGGTGGCGGGCATCCTTTCCAGAGCACCAGCCAAGCACTATGTACTACCGGGCAATATGAGAGCCAGTGATCAATAGCATTGGCTCCTTCTTGACACAAGACACAGGGGATGGGGGCGGTTTGAGTCAGCGGACCCTCGGAGGAGAGCAGTTTGGAGGCAATGGGAGTGAAAAGGCCAGCAGGGCTGACAGAGCCACTGCTCCTAGCTGGGGCATATAGGTTCAGAAAAGTAAGGAGCTCGTCTGACAGGGGAGACAGGAGCCTAGGGCTTTGCCTAGTGCAGGTGAAGCACAGGGCTCCACGGAGGGCTCAGCAGGGTAGTTCCTGGCATTGCGGCCACACCACACACAAGAAGAAGTGCGACTGACACGTCCCCGAAGGGGAAGCCATAGATCAGCATCTTCTCCTAATGCCCACCGCAGCATCGCAAAGCGAGGGACGGCCCCGACATGCGACACTGGTGTTTGCGCTAGCCACTCTAAAAATTCAAGGGAGGGTCTGTACGCCCATCCGTTCTGCGATATTCTGGAGGAAAGATGTAGTATCGACGTGTCAACAAATCGCCCTCTTGCAAGCTGCTTGAACCTATCTAAAAAACGCCGAGTGTTGTGCGAGGAGCCGTCAGGCTGATCTAGGATTTGCAGCAACTGTTTGACTTCTTCCGGAGCAAGTTGCTGCTGCCAGTATTTCCAACAGGAGTAAACCTGTCGTTTGTAGGATTCATCTGTGTCTCTAACAAAGGCCGGGAGCACGACGTGTCCTTGTCGTAGATAACAGCCGAAAAGTGATACTGCATGCATGATAGAGGGGTCAAGAAGTGGCCCCAGTCGCAGCCATCGACATAGACCAACCAATTTTAATTGCGGGAACCAGTGTCGTTTGAGAAGAAAGTCGGCCAAAGCCCGGTATAGCGGCGCAAGTAGTTGTAGAGGAAAATATCGATGCGTTTGCACATAGTAGAAGAGACTGAGCGAGAAGGCATTGAAATAAATAATCTTAGCATGAATACTGAGGTTGCCTTTGATGCCAGCTGCAATGCGCATACGAAACTTGAGCAGTTGCTTGGAAAGAAGAGAGGGTGCAATAAGCACCAATGGACTCCATTCCATTTGGTCAGCTTGTATACTGCACGACCATCCTGTGTGGATGGTAAGACCAAGATTGATCGTAGCGGGCACAATGCATTGGCCACCCAGTCCTGCTCGGTCAACTTGATACAGTTGAGCCGCAGTGAAGGCATCATTCGTAAGAAGTTGCGTTTTAGAGCGACACTTACAGGGGCTAGCTGAAAGCTGAAAGAGGAGATGGTGACCCCCACTCGTGGATTTGGCGGGTGTGGAACAGCGCACAATGATCTCCATGACGAAGGACAAAGTAGTGCGCGTGTGGGGGAATGTGCTGAATGGCACGCGAGATAGTGGCTTCGCCCTGTTCATGCCATGGTCGAAATACCCCCGAAATCTCTTCGAAACGTAAAAGTTTCTGCTCGGGAAGGGGCTCTGTGGAGAGGCCAACTTGTTAGCATGTGTGAGCATCCATAACGACCCCAGCCGTTGACCAGGAGTCGATAAGTTCAAACACTTCTTTTATCCACTGTGGTTCACTTTGCAAGCCAATTATGGTTGTGTCATTAACATAGCCTGCAACAAGCAGGACTCGCGGCACCTGATGCAATGCAACAAAAATAGGGTCCATGGCCAAGCAGAAGAAATATATTGAGGTTGACCGACCCATATCAACTCCAGAATGAACTGCGCGTGGTGGCAAGAGCCGACCCTGGACTTTATGCCGTATCCTCCTTCCAAATAGGAGATACTTTGCCAGTTGAAGCGCCCAAGGGACACACTGCCGAATGTGAAGGATATGAAGGATCCAGAAAGCATTAACACGTTTAAAGGCTTTGGACAAGTCTGCAAATAATGCAGAGGCAGGGACTGCTCCTTCAAGCATCTGTTGATCCTCCAGCACTGCACGCTGCGGTTCCCGAAAAGCATTGAGCATAGTCTGTGCTGGGTGAAACCAGTGCCGAGGTACACGAAAGAGGATAGCAGCAGTTGTGCCATCCTGGAGTCGATCTAAGGTGTCTGGCATTCCTAGGGGGCGAAAGAAGTCAGCAGTAGGTCCTTGTTTGGCCTTCGGAATCCAGACGCCTACTTGGGTTGGTGCTGGGAGCGTACAGGACATCATCCGATCAAAATCGTCCTGCAGGATGGCTGCTGTGTGGTAAGGGATTATTCGCCACAGGGCATAGGGGAGTCCATCAGGACCAGGGGCAGAGTCTTTAGTAAGTAGGAGATGTTCTGGCCAAAACAGCAACGCGATCACGCGAGCTCCAATAAGAGTTGTTGATGACCCTGTTCGCCCTCATCGAAAGCCAATCCCCAACCTAACCCACTTGAGTTGGGATTTGATTTCCAGCCACGCCTAGCCCGTGCAGGACATGCCCCGCACCTTCTTGAAAAGGAGCTTTTCTCTCCGAGAGCCCACGAAGCGACGCTGCGAAGCGTGCGAAACGGCGGAGCGTGCGAATTGAGGGGGGTTGGTCTGGATGAGCGGGAAATGTCACCCAATTTTGAGCGCAATTTTCCCTTTTTATTTTTTCATTTTTTTGAGAATTCATGAAAAACAAATTCATGTGCGAAACAATTGCGAAAATGCTGCGTGGGATTGCGAAATGCTGCGAGCTGTAGAACTCACAGAAATCGAGCAGTTCTGAGAAGAGTTGCAGGGAAAATCCATACAAGTTCATCATATCTCCATTTTCTTCTCAACGCTGCGAAATCAATCCTCTAGCAGCTTTTTGTGATCGAGGGATTGAGCATTGCGCCGCACGGTTGACTGCCATGGCCCCACAACCGTTAATTCGGAGAAGGGTCACAGGCAAGAGCTCCGACGCGCCGACTGCTGCTGGGCAGAGGCCATCAGCCCCGAGGACATCGTCAGCTTCCAGGAGTGCTGCCGCCGCCAGGCAAGAGTCGGGAAGGAAGAGGGGAGCGTCAAATGAGGCGCACGTGGATGCAAAAAGGAGCAGGCGGGACAGGGAAGAATCAAAGGCCAAAGCAGCAGCGCCTGCTAAGGAGAAGAAGACGACAAGGACGACCCTGTGACCTTGGACAAGATCAGCAAAGAGAAAGAAGAAAGTAAGCCTGGGTCTGCAGTCGCAAAGCCTGTGCGCAACAGCGTGACCAACAAGAAGGATTGGGATTCCTTCGTGCGATCCAAGGAGAGGTTCAAGGTCCACTAATTCTTCCAGCAAAACAAACTGGAATGCTTCAACATGTGGCTAGGATGCTGTTGCCCTGAAGGTCAAGAGGACCCATGAGGAATCGCACGAGTCACAGCGTGGATGGGTTGCCAAGCAGGGGCGCGTTCTGGCAACTAAGATCGTGGCCTCTCGCAAAGCCGCCGGGCTTTTTTACCGGGACGAAGACCTTTCCTGACGACGAAGATGACTCTTCTGCTAGTCATAGCAAGCTTTCTCATGTGCAAAGGTTTTCTGTTTCCCTTTTGTCTTAGTTGTGTGAATCGAGTTTCTTCTCCTTCCCTTCATAGAGGGTTTTTGTTTCCTTCCCTTGATACAGGAAACCTGGTATTGGGTTCGAGCGCCGCAGCAGCTGACTCATCAGGAGCTTACCAAGGAGTGGGAGCGCCATCAACTTTGATGTTTTCATCTGATTCCAATAAATTTCTTTGCAACTTTGATATTTTTATCTGAGTCTAATAGGTTCCTGTGCTCCACATGTTTATGTAGGGCGCACGCCCACACCCTTCAGGACACCACAGAGCTTGAAGCCAAAGCGAACGTTGACGCTGGCTTGCTTCAGGCCATCACGGATGGTGATGAAGGATTCATGAGGGCTGGTGCAATGCCGGCGGTGACTGCAGCTTCGAGCGCCGGCGCCAAATCCTTGTTGGACTCTCTTGGGGAGAAGGCCACCTCAAAAAGACACGCTTTCATTTGTGACTTTTGATTAATTTTCACAAATCTTGATCGCATCCCTTCATGCATGAGCCCTCACAGGTGGTCAACAGTAAGACCAAGCCACCGAAGAGCAAGGAAGAGAAGCTCGAGGAGATTGCCAAGATTTCGCCTCAAGAGCGCATCCAGCAGAAGATGCACGATTGCCTGAAGGAGGCTCAGGTTGCTCGCACCAATGGCGTGGCTTTGCGCGGGGTCTTGAGTTCGCTGACAAGTTGAGCAAGAAGATCATCAACCACGTCGACTCGGTGGAAGAGCTTTTCTCCAAGGTCGAGAACGCCGTCAAGACAGGCGGCAGCTTGAAATCCCCTGGAGGCTGAGATCGATAGCAAAGGTGTTGCCACTCAACAGTTGCAGGGCGCGGCCAAAGCTTTTTTGTCAAGTTTGAAGCCTAAGAAGAAGGCGAAGGCTGGCAAAGCTGCCAAGTGAGCAGCGATGCCGCTGTGAATTTTGATTGAGTTTGGGGCAACCAAATGATATCATTTGGCGTTGGGGCGCCTGGCAAGGAATTGAGCTTTTGCGTTGTTCCTTACTGTGATGAACTTATCGGCTCAACTCAAGTTCGTTTTGCTCATTCCACTTATTTTGCTCAAACGATCATCTCAACTCACCTTTGTTTTCCTCAAAGGACCAGCTCAACCCACCTTCGTTTTGCGCAACTGATGAGCTCAACAGATCTTGCCAGTTCTATAGTTTGATCGTTTCCATTTGATCGTAAATCTTGGCATCTTGAGCATGCAGTCGCGTAAAAAAGGGAAGGTATAATTTTTGGGGTCGCGGTTAAGAAAAGAAATGACAAGTTTGCCATCGGCTATTTCCAAAGCAAAGGATGAAACGCATTGCCTTCTTCTAGGTGCCACACTAGGTGACCCCAATGGATAGGCATGGGATGTTTGCCACTCGATGCGCGCCCGACCCCGGAATGGATCGTCGTGCCGGATAGTCGGCAGCAGGGTATGTGGCGACTGCTCCACAATAGCAAGGACCCAGGACGACGGTGTAGTGTAGGATGCTCCCAAAGTTATCAGCCCCAGTCAAGTGTAGGACAGAGCAGAAAGGCGCAAGCCTACTGTTTCGAGGCTCTGCATAAAACCTATTTTTATGATGCGTGGCGGCAAGAACTACTGTTAGATGCACCTGGCTCGGATTTCGTCCTACCACCAGATGGCCCAGCCAACAGACCAGCACCGCGGTCCTAGCTGTGTCGGATGCAGAAACGGAGGAGGCTGATCCGCCAGCCACCTCGCTGCCCTCACCAGCGGCAACAGATGTCACCATGGCATTGGGGGAAGCTAGCGACGTTGTGTCGGTTAGCAGTGCTGCACCAGAAGAAACCACGTTGCCCAGCTCACCCAGCCTTGCTGACTGTGATTCCCAAATGGGCAGAGGTGATGACGCTACTGCCAATGAGGCAGAGGGTGAAAGCCTCAGCGATCGCCCCTCCTCTTCCCACATGCTGAAAGCATCCGAATCGCCGGCGCAGGAGTGTAAAGATGAGTGCACTGCCCTCCCACCTTGCGGAGTCGACAACAATATAAATGATTCCTCCTCCAACGTGTCTGAGTCCCCAATCAAAACGACCTCCGGTTGCCAAAGCAGGGCCATGGTGATCCCAGGCTAAGAAACTAGTCAGCTGGGCAAGGACAAGCGCAGCCCCTAGAAGCATCCCAGAGGAAGCCCAAGCGCAAGCGCGGCCCTCCACACTGGAGGAGCTGGCCTGCCAATCAGATCCTACGCAGGGGACACCAGTTGGCAGTGACCCGGCCACGCCATCATACAGTCCCTTTGGAACACGGGAGCAGGAAGCAGCCACTGCAGAAATTGAGCTGGCTACCGAGCACAAAGAAACTGAACAAGGTGGCACTGCTGCTACCGATTTAGGACTGGCAGCAGAGCAAGTGGCTATGCGTGCCATATATAGCTATCAAGTAGCAGCCCGAGAAGCAATAACGCAAAGAACTGTGCAGCCATCAATGCAGGTGTACAGTGACCTGCCGCGCGAATGGCCAATGGCCAGGCTGTGCATTTCATACAAACAAGTGAGTAGATACATCCGCACAGCCCTATGGAGGCGGGTCGCCGAAAAGGGGCTGCAAGGTACCTACTTCGGGCGCATCCCGAATGAAGTGCACCAAGACCTCATAGGAGATCTGCTACTAGTCAGCAATGCACTAGCAGCGCCGCTAGCGGAGCTGTTCGCCTTCTTAACGCGCAACCGAAGCAAAAGCGGATCCGGCCAAGCAGGAAAACACTACAGAGAATGAAATTGACGCCCTTACATTTATGCAAACAGTCATCATGTCCTTCGTACGGGGAATGACCTATGGACAGCAAGAACTCCGCATCAATGACCTTTTTTTTTGTCTACTTCCCTGCGCAGGTACTTCCTGGCCTAGTCCAGTCGATCATAGATCATCAGTATCAACCTACAGAGCTGAAAAGTGGCTGGGGATACCGCACTAATAAGGGACGAGCAGAAGACAACGCCTTCCTGGTAGTAGGTGCCTACCGAAAGGAAATGAAATATGAGAACAATCCACGGATGCCCCAGTCGGCGTGGACGGAAAGGGCCTAGGGGTCAAGGGCACTTGACCTTTTAGTGGGTCAGTTGATGTCATTCCCGTCATTGCCCAAGCTAATGCTTCGCTTGGAGGTCCCTCTCTGGACAGATCTCAGCGAAGCAAGGCACCCCCCGCCACGCACTCATCCTGGTGAGTCTGACGCTGATTCAAGCATTACAGGCGCACAAGAACTTTCGCCAATCTATGCGCAACCTGTGCCGATGGGAGAGGCGGATAACCAGGAGCAGCCGGAGGAAGTGTCCTCTGAAGAGGACGCCGACGCGGACCCAACCTACCTAGTCCCGCAAGGGCATGGGCGCTTTGCCCTTCGCTGGTCTAGGCTTGCCACTGCGGCTGACAACTTTGCCAAGGGCAACGCCCAAATAGAGAGCACAATCATCTCTGGCTGGCTGACCTCTGGGTTAGAGATTGCAACGAACAGAATGGGGTGGTTCCTTCTGTCGTCTGGGCAGGAACTGACGAGACTGAGCGAGGATGAGCTCCTTCGTTATTTCCACCGCGGCTATCCGGACTGCCGGGAAAAAGACCGACCCTATCAGACATGCAGTCAACATGTGTGTAGCATAGGGAATGGCAGAAGATGAGCTATTGGCTCACAGGTGATCCTACCTTTCTCACAAAGTTGGCAATCCACCGCCAAGAGCTGTGGGACAAGACAGAGGGGGTCAAAGCTGAAGGGACTGGTGGAAATAAATCTCGTCGAATAGCTCCTCCCGGAGGTACTGGTAGTTCCTCCTCCACTGCCCGTGTTCCCAATCGTAATCGCCCTCCTCCTCCGCCAAAATTTCGGTATTGGGGTAAACAGTAGAGAGACCAAACCAACCGCATGCAGTGGGGCCCCTGGCCTGTAGTTACTTTCCAATCGTAGGAGGTAGGAGAATGTTGTGGCCTCAGCTGCCGCATTCTAGTGTTCTCTTTCGCGAGGCGCCGATGTATGGCCCAACGTATGATAGTTTTCCAGGCTCAAGGAAGCGACGCCGCCATGCCGCACCTCCAGCAGCAAGCTGCGCAGCCGGACTGCAATGAGCCACACGCCATTGTGTTGGCTACGCTTGCGGGCAATGAACACCACATGCCAGCAAACTTAGCGCACTACGAAGACCTTTCACAACTAGAAGACGACGTAGTTAATTTTTTGCCGACCGTCTCTGATATTGAAGTATTTGGCTGCGAAGTTGATCTAATCATGTCGGACACTAAGTTGCCATTGCGAGATCCCATCCACTCCACCCTGAAGAAGCAGAACAGGCTTCAGGTGATTGTCCGACCGTGCATGGAGGAAGGACACTCTGTGTGGCAGTTTCAAGATGGCAATCAGGAGGGATATCCCAAAAGGTGCCAGGTCCCCGTTCGGCCTCGTCGGCCTCGTTCAGCGTGGAGAGGATGGAAAATGGCCTGTCTTTGGAGGCCTCGCTCGGCCTCGTTACGCGCGCAGTCGGCCTCGTCCAGCGTGGAGAGGAGGTGGCAACAAGGCCTCGTCCGGCCTCGTCATCGGTGTAACAGACCTCGTCCAGCGTGGAGAGGACATGAAATCAGGTCTTGGAAAACTACTTCTGCCTTGGGTTCAACTTCCAAAAACACCCGCTCCACCTAAAAAAACTTGCAAGCTCGACTAGAAAAGTGCTCAGATTCCAACCAACTCAACCGCCCGCCCGCGTCACATAAAATCAAAAAACAAACGGAACCAGGGTGAGTTGCCAAAAATCTCCGCCGCGCATGGAAATTGTCGGCGACACTCAAGGCGCCAGGAGCAGCAGGTACATCCATCAGCCAAGCCAGCGACCTCTGCTGCCATTTCTAGGCATGTCTAAGTTGGAAACCAAAACCTCCAGCAAAAATTGACCTGAAACGGGAATATCTAAATCCAAAAGTTTCTGTTGGATTTGCGACGGAAATATCTAAATCCAAAAGCTTCTGCTGCCAACCTGCGCCAACACGCGGCGAACACCCTGCCAAAAAATCCCGCGAAAACTACTTCTGCCTTGGACTCAACTTGCAAATGACCTGCTCCACCTCAAAAAAATCGCAAGCTCGACCAGAAAAGCGCTCAAATCATTCTGGGGCATGATTCCAACCAACTCAACCGCCCGGCCACATCACGTAGGATTGGTCGCCAAAAATCACCGCCGCGCAAGAAATTGTCAGGCGCCAGGAGCAGCAGGCACATCCATCAGCCAAGCCAGCGACCTCTGCTGCCAATTCTAGGCATGTCTGAGTTGGAAACCAAAACCTCCAGCAAAAAATGACCTGCGACGGAAATATCCAAATCCAAAAGTTTCTGTTGGATTTGCGACGGAAATATCTAAATCCAAAAGTTTCTGTTGCCAACCTGCGCCAATACGCGGCGAACACCCTGCAAAAAAAAACCGGCCCAACCAACTTCGCAACCCAAAATATGCCCGCGGAAAAAGGGACCAAACAAATGACTTCTAAGCAAACAAGCCGCATCGCACGCAAAACTACAGACTATCCAAAGCAAGGTCGCTTACCCTAACAGCTGGATTACAACGCTAGCCAAAACACTTTCCGCCAGCGGCCCCAAAAACGAGGGCCAAAAACGCTGTAGAGTCCGGGGTCGCCACAGCAGGCCTCCCCAGTCGCAATGGAAACATTGGGCGTATCGGGGCGTCGACGCTGGACTTGCAAGGTTTGGCGTTCCCGTGGGTAGGTATCTCACCTCGCACCTGGAATGGCTGCCGTGCGTTTTCAGCGTTTTTTGACGGAACCGCTTCAAAAATGCATCAACGAGCGGCCCCTATTTTGTGGGACGGAATCTAACCTCCGAAATGGGGGACAACTTGAACATCATTTTGCTCTGCTATTTCGTTGCCTCATGGCCCCCGTTTT